TACCAGAGGTCGTTGACAACGAGAAGAATCGAGATACGAAAGCACGTTTGGGAGATGGCTGGCAAACAGCCACGTATTCAGACGCCCAATCCGCACGTGCTGCAACCCCATTTGGCATTTGCTAAGCTTAATCCCCCCATAGTTTTACGCCAATCCGGTCCCATCCCGGAGCTTAGATCTGTCTGCCGCGAGATGACAGGTGTGGGGTTCCTCCATGTTGCCAACCTTTTGCCAATCCTCGCTAAAGTATCGCCCAGCTACTGGGAATGGGAACATGAAAACACGTCGAAAGTAAATTATCAATAAAATGCAGGACATGAACCATGGGCCCATTGCATGCCGGGGCCGGATGAGGAGAATGGATCTCGGTCACGAAACGCGGGGAGAATAATCCACTCGACACCAACAAATCGGCCTCCCTTGCCGGAACGTGACGGGCGCATCGGGTGTTCTCCACGCACATCACGGTCTCGGAGGCCAGAAGACGAATTCTGGATGCCGAACGCTCCCCATCCCTTCAATGATAATCGCAGCCGTCCAGCACTGCCCTGCGGGGTCATTGCTCGGCGCTCACCAAATGTCTGGGCATCACCATTTCCCTGCGCCCAACATTTGCTATCGGGAGATATCGTAACGAGAACTGCTGGACAGCTTGAGGAACGACTGTCGTTGAGATTGACGACATTGGGCGGGAGCCTCAACGTTTGATTGAGGAGCGGGATTTGCAGCCAGCGGCGGCATGGGGTGGGTTCCGCGGCTTCGGAGCGAGCAGAGAAACATGGAGCGCCAGACCAGGCATGGCAAGTCTTGCTTAAGCATAACTATAAGCGCTGTTGGCGGCATGTTGTGCCGTACTGCGTAGGGGAGGGGAAGACGGGAGCTTATGGCCCTGAGAGGTGGTCCACCCTAGACACATAGGCCCAGGCCTCCCTTCGCTGGCTGCGCTGGTTTCAGGGCTCCCGGGCACACAACATGTCGCCTGGTTCAGCCTTTCAAGCCCCTGTGGGTGCGCCATCTAGCGAATGCGGGGGAGGGACCAACGGGTGGGTAAGGCAAATGAATTCTACCTACGGATACCTCAAGGTGCCTGAGGTGGTTGGTAGACGGAAAAGACCTCTGCCTCCGCGACATTTCCAGCTGGTGCGGGACGTTGTCTCGAGCAAGCACCACGAACACCATGGTTCGAACACCATTGGTAACCTATGTGGATCGAGGGGGCGTCTCGTCCAAACACTTCGACAATGTAGCTATGGCGCTTGCCAGGCTACCAGGGATAAGTTCGCCTTCTGATGATTTTCACCTAGTAACAATCAGATGGACAACAGACGTTTCCCAGCAAGCGTCAATGTGGGTATGCAATACAGGTTGGATATCCGTTGTCGACACTCCCCTTCGTCGCTAATATAGCGCAGCCAAAATCAGTCTATGGCACGGCCAAGGCTGAGGTGGTTCATGATTACAACTCGAATCCTCTACTTTCCGGAATGCAGCCCACACGCTGCTTAAATCTACACTCCGATACCCATGTGTATGTTACATTTGCCCCGACAAGATGAGTCCATCGGGTGGCCAGCGTCCTCGCCCGTCATGGCCGCCGCGAAGGCTATGCCAGAGAGGTGAGAGCACCCCTCGGAGTGCCGAACCTACTCGCGTCGGACGCCGGCGCCTACGCGGTATAATCCCATGAGCAGTTGGATGTCCATGTATGCGTCTCCGCTTCTCATCGGAACCCGTGGCCTCAAGTCCTTGTCCAAGGAGTCTCGAGAATACTTCGACGCCATTCTGAAGGTCAGCCAAGTTGAGCAGCCAAGCTCGACGTCCCCTGTTTTGAGAAAGAAACAAATCATCGGCTTTCATTACTACTTTTATCGCCAAATATGAGGGACCTAGCTAGATGCTTGTGGTCACAAATGCTATGGTATCAAAGAATCCAACGCCAGCAGGCCCATGAGCTCATCGTCGCTGTCATCCCCATCTTCCTGGAATGCTTCCATCTCCTGTTCGTCATTATGAACGGTACGCACTCTTTCAAAAGGTATCTGGCACCTGATTTCGTCTTCACGAAACCAGGTACCATGCAATCCGTATGGCACACGCTGTGGTAGCTTTATTCTTGCAACCACACTCTTCATTTCCTTAGCGTCGATTATCCAAAGCTCGCTCGCGGCGTTAGGGCGACAGACCCCCTTGCTGTCAAGTTGTGATTCGTCAAAGACGTAAGTCAACAACCACCCGTCGTCCTCCGTCTGCGGCTGCGATCGAGCTACAAAGCGTGGCTCCTGGGCATACCAACCCTCGGGCATCTTGAACAGCTTGATTGGGTCTTTCGGGTCCTTACTCTCCAGAACCTGAGTCACATTGCGTGTGTCAACACAGCCTTTGACTGGTTGTGGAGGGTTCGCAATTCCTCGGTTGATCAGCGTACGGACGTCGACCTTGGCCAAATGGTCAATCTTGGCCGCTTTGCCAAGCGCGACGGTGTAGGAGGCCTCTCCAGTCGAGCAACCGTACACGTAACGAGCCTCCTGCGTCGAGTACTCCGGTGATACAGTGGGAAACTCGAGTGAGATAGCCGACAAAGCCCATTGATGTCGGATGTTGAACTGGACGCCGGGGATGCCTGACAGGGGGAAGTTGTAGTAGTACAGCCGACACTGCTCTTCCTCTGCATACTCAGGCGGGACCGGCTTCACTTCTGGTGTAGGGAGATTGCCTGCGCTGAAGACTAAAGATGCGGAAGTGAGCCGGCAAGCAATCAAGTTGACTGACATTGTCGGCCCATTGAGATCAGTTGGTGCCGATACCGAGTCCCAGCAATTCGCAGTGTGGAAGATAGTGCATGGATTGGTCTCAAACCATTGGACCGCGTCAGGTTGATGCCGGGGGAATATACCAAACCGCGACTTGCCTGCGGAATCGTATGACAAGCTGGCGACACCACGGATCAGGTTCATCGGGTCGAGCGAAAGCGGGAGGTCCATGATGACGGTGTGCCGCCGGGACACACCAAAGTCGTGCATCATCTTTGGCGACTCAACTCCGGGAACTGCCACATCGAACATGGCCTGGCGTGTTGCTAGTTTCGACGATGTTGGAGGAACGACAGAGTACCGCACAAAGGGCTTGATGAAGGTTGAGTGGAAGGTAATGAGCTCCTTTGTGACTGGATCAACGCGCGGGTGGGCGGTAGTCCATTCCTTCATGAAGGACGTGGCACCGGTTCCTCCAAAACCGCTTTCGCTGGTACTCCTCGGCTCGTTTTCAGCAACTCGTCCATTGAACCAGCCGATGGTCTCGAGGCTCGGCAGAGCAAATCTCAAAGGCGGCCCGCTTTCGCATGTTGCCAGCGCGCGACCGTTATGGAAAAGCACACTGGTATTCGCGACGCTGATCTTCTTGATCGATCGCCCAGTCCCAGGGAGTCGTGACAGGAGTACCAGGAATATGGTCCGAAAAACCTCAAAAATGATGCGGAACATGCTGAGGGCTGGGTTTACGAGCGTCGCAATGCTGGGCAGAACGGGTCGACGTAGAGACTTGCTCTCTTTGGCGTAACAGTAGACGTCCGTCAACAAATACTGATTCACGAACTCGGGCTGGATTTGGGTCTGCTTCTCGCCCACGCGCCGAAAGAGGACCCCGCTGAGCATGCCGTCGCCGTCAAACCAATGCGCAGCTCGAGTTGGGTCGTCATTAGTGAGGGGGTTACCGCCATTGCGAACATACTGGCCTCCTGCGAGGTCAACTGGTATCGTGCCCTCATACGAGCATGCTGTCAACGGAAGACATGACTGGATTGGGGCAAAGTTGCCTGAGAGATAGCTGTCGCGCATGTCAGCATCGCCTTTGCTTCGACCAAAGGGAATCCATTGTACTCACGGATGGTGCTTATCATCTTCATGGAGAGCATCGTTCGCCATCTTCAGCGCCGCTCGATGTCTGGGGGGAAGACTGATGTCTCAGTCTCACAACGGCTTCAGAAGCTTGGCGACCAGGCACGCAAGAAAGCCACGGCGGGAGAGAAATGACAGGACCAACGTCCGGTATGTCTAGTTAATCCTTTCAACAGATGACAGGTCAAAACCAAGACGACCCGTCGAAGTCCACGCTCACGGTGGGTAGTATCGCACTGTTCTGAAAGACGGTCAGAATGATTTCACATTCCCAGCCCCACGATTCGCGACTAGTCGATTATGTGCCGAAGTTGCGGTGCCAAAACACCTGACTACTACTATCAATTGACCAGAGCTTTGAGCTAGATGACGACATGGGACGAAGGAGCTCGGGGGTTTGGGGGTGCTCAGATCTTTGTGCCCAAAGCTCCTGTCAGGTAGCTCGCTCGCGCCCTGCCTTGCCAACTCAGATTATCAGTCCAAACAAAAGCGGGGGAAGAACAACTCAAAGAAACCGGTCCCCGCTTCTGAGATTCCTGATGCGGTGCCATCAAGAAGTCGATGGCTAATGAGAATGGCCAATCTTTGAGTTGCCAAGAGAGCCTGGTCAGGGGTGCAAGGCAAGCTTTCGCAGAGCGTCAAACGCCTGGGGAAGATTTGTGTCTAGCCCGAACTGCATGGTCATCAGACCCATTTCTGATACATGGGTGTCGGGAGAGAAAGAGAATGAGAATCAGAGTCGTGGGTGTGAGACCAGATCGGGAGGCTGGCTTGGCGATCGGCGCGGGCTGCAGGTCAAAAAAGCAGCCAAAGAGGAGCTAAAAGCTTCTGCATCGCTTCCCATGAGGGACGAATCGCCGTTGGAGGCGTTGTTTCGAGCGCCAGAGTCTAGGTTCTACCTCGAGGGGGGACCGGCGTTCGTTCTCGCGTGCAGAAATGCAAGAAAATATGCGGCCAGTGACATGACAACTTGGCGAAAAGTGCGTTTGCCGGCGCTAGCTCCGGGCATTGTGGGACCCGGGAATACCGCTCGGCAGCATCCGGTGCAGAGCCCGGACAAAGTGGTGACTTCATCGACACGAAGTCTTTATCCGCGGAGCAGACGCTATGTGCTGTTACCTAATTATGGCAACCGAGTGGACGAATTACCTAGCGGTGACTCGTCGCAAAGTGCAGCTCCTTCATCACCAGGTAGCTGTCCTTGTTCTCTCTCGTGTCAGTGGGAATGGGCCTAGAATGCTGAACCTCGTCATAGACTGATCACGTCGGAAATACGGCTCGCAACTCGGCTAGCTCCTTTTTCAGTAGCGGAACACGCAACAATATCCCTTTTGGCGCGTCGCAATATCATTCGCAACGCAGGGAAACTTCGTGCCCAAAAAGCAAACATGGCTGGGCAAGCTTTCACTCGATTGCCGTAGCGCCCGTCGTAGTAGCAGCCCCGCGTCTTGTCTCTGTCGTAGGTGCGTTTCCACGGGCGGAGGCTACCATCCTGTCTGCCAGCTGATGGTGTCCTCCTTTGGGGAAACGAAAATGCCCGTCTGTTCGCGCCCAAACGTCCGAGCAAGCTGCCCAGCGCGCCATCGCGAGTCTAATCGTCATCCGGAGCTCATTGTGCGCCGCGACCGCAACCACGATGTTACCTGTATCCTGTAAATCATTTGTCCAATGGGACGTGCTCACTACAGCCCGACCTAGCGAAAGCATTCATGGCTAGATGCGGGATTGTCGGCAGGGGGGTTGGGCATCTGTGTCCTAGTCTCGAGTGTAAATCAGATGTTGTGTTGCGACTGGGCAGCACTGTTACGAGTACGGATGAGGATATATTGGGTGGGTTGAACCCCTCTTTCTCCTCCCTCAGCTCCCCAGAGTCGCAGTGCCTCAAGAAGCATAACGACCCCCCGAATTTCTGTTCCAGATCTTGCCTCATTATCCCCATTTACTCGAGAACAAATCATCCCCATGCAGCAAGTTTTGGTTGGTCACATAACACGAGCAACCACAATGGCCAACGACGCCCTCAACACCAACCGACGCGTCGGCGCCCAGGCCGACCTGGCCGTCACCACCCGCGGCTCGGATTGGTACTTCGCCGTCTGCGCCATTATGGCCGTCTCGACTCTCGCCTTCCTCGGCATGGGCATGGCTAAGCGCGAGACGCACCGCCTGTTCCACTACATCACGGCATCCATCACTTTTGTTGCTTGCATATCGTACTTTTCCATGGGCGCCGGTCTCGGCCAGACACCTGTTCTGGTCGAGTTCCCCCGCCCCAACGACAGCCAGGTCTCCGGCGCCGGCACCCGAGAGATCTACTACGTCCGCTACATCGACTGGTTCGTTACCACGCCGCTTCTGCTTCTGGATCTTCTCCTCACCGCTGGCCTGCCCTGGCCGTCTATTATGATTGCCCTCCTCGCTGATGAGGTTATGATTGTCACCGGACTTGTTGGTGCTCTCACCAGCACGAGCTACAAGTGGGGATACTGGGTGTTTGGCATGTTTGCCTTCTTCTACGTCGTCTACTCCCTGGTCTTCGAGGGTCGAAAGCACGCTGCTGCGCTCGGCGGCTCCATCCAGCGCACCTACACCAATTGCGGCGTCCTCACCATCTTCCTGTGGTTTTTGTACCCCATTGCTTGGGGCGTCGCCGAGGGCGGCAACATCATTCACCCGGACTCCGAGGCCCTCTTCTACGGAATCCTGGACGTGCTGGCCAAGCCTGGCTTCGGCTTCCTCCTCCTCTGGGGACACCGCAACATCGACCCCGCCGCGTTGGGTCTCCACATCCGCCCGCCCGGCGCCCAGAAGACCCACCCGGGCCAGCACGGGGGTGACCACGGACACCTCGGCGCCACCGGCGGCGCGGGGCCCTCGAATGGTGTTTGATGACACTTTTGACTGGAGCTTCTAGGTTCACACACCAGCATCCCACCAATAACGTATGAACATGGAGGTTTTGCGGCGGGTTCAGGGTTCTAGTAACTACAAGAGGTTACTAGACCTCTTTGCATAAGCATTGCCCTTATAGTTTTAAAATTGAAGCTTTTGAAAAAAAAAAAGTTCCCGTGGATTAGCTTTGATGGTCAGGAAGAGGGGGGAATGTGGGGAAACGGGAGGTTTGTTATCTGGTTTCTACTGATGTTGGGCACTGCACACTGGGCGCATAAGCCCCCTCTCCTATAGTTTACTATTATGTATCTAGGGGAAGGCAAGGGCTAATTTATTGCGGGAGTTCAAATCCTTAAGAAGCTTTAATGTTTATACCCACAAATAACTATCGTTAACCGTGCTTTTTTAATGCGTGTTCTCCCGTTTGGCAACTTCATATGATTTATCTAGCCTGACTTATCGCACGTACCTAAGTGTTAGGCTGGGCATTAGGCAAGACATTGCTCTATGAGAGTTGACTGAACCAGGGGTTGATACAAGTCATCAGCACGGTGGTCGACAAGGGTCACTGGAAATTCCACCAAGGTTCAGACCGGAGCTTGGGTCTTCATGGCATGACGACTACATACCCCGTGTCTGCAGTTGAGGCTGCCTGTCACCCATTTTGACGTTTTGCGGGGTTGCAATGCGAAACTGGGCATACTCAGACAGGGCTTTAGGGTTGTCTGCCCACTGGATTCATGCCTTGTGCCGTTGGGTTTTGTGCCCAGGCGCGAAGCCTCGAATTTCTTGGAGGTTTATTTGTGGTCATACGGGGGTATTGGAGGATCCTTTGAGATATGCGTGGGACACGTTTGTAGGCTTTTCCCGTTAGCTGTTGAAACTCTTTGTTTGATGAGGCGAACCGAAGCAAACTTTGCTCATGAGCTTTGTCTTATTCTGAACCCCTCATCGGTCTCCTGGAAATTTGTGAGTCTACGAAGAGACACGATACATACAAGCTGTACACAAAATGTTAGGTTTTTCCCGTCAGTTCTTCATATTTCCTTGGCTGGTTCGGCGAAGCGGTTATTATTGGTACTATGGCTGAGTAGACTGGCGGACATCTGCTACACGTCGTGCTTGGCTTTTCCCTCTCGTGTGTTTCTTTGGTACATTTCTTCATGGTCTACTTTATCTTATTTCATATTTTGCTCGGCTTTCTTCATTTTCTGGGATTCTAGATATCCGATGCATTACTTTTGAATGCCCTTTGCTCTAGGAGAATGAGACGCATCCGCAAAAGACGATGAACACATACATGACATAGGTGAGGCCTCACTAGAATGTCTCGCCTCGACATATTCAATTGGAGTAATGCTTCGAGTGATACGCTAGTAATGTAAATAAGTTAGGCTTTGGTGTTATATTATTCTAAATTAAAGCTTACCCGCAAAAGCACCTGCGTAGTATTATAGATACATAAGTATATATGTACATATACATATTAATACGGCTTATCCCTCCTAGCTTCCTCCTTCCTATTCTTTTTCCAGTTATGCTTTTTCCCCAGTACTTATCTGTGGGTCCTGACGTGTTCCTTCTGCATGGGGCCTACGTTAAGACTATCAGACTGGATTGTAAATGTTCAAGCCAGCAACGCTGAGGCATAGTTCTCATATCGTTTCTCTATTATTTAGGTGAAGTGCCACTCTGCCAACTGAATCTGGTGGCGGGCTAAAGCCTACGGGCGAATTGCACCATCTACCTGCTCTGTTCCTATGTCAGACGTTGCGAATTCTCATTCTGTTCGTCCAATCGCAAAACGTAAATGCCTGGCGCAAATATCTGCCGTATACGTGTCGCTGGCATCAGCAACGAGCTCACTTTCCAACCTGGACTGCTTGTCCCGATTCAATCCCCTGTCCCGTAACCTCACTGAGCTCCAAATTCCTGCTCCTACAGACGATTCCCTAAAGGTCAGCCATGTCTCTCGGAATCTGCTCACTCCCGCTTCAACTTCTGCAGGTCGAATTCATCCTGATCCACCATAAGAACACACTGGCCGATGTCGACGTAGACCGGAAGCTTCCATTCGTGCACCTCGGGGCTGTCCGGGTCACCGTCATCTTCCTCCGCCTTCTCTCGCAGTACCATAAAGTCCTTGCTGTCTTCCCGGACGTGTTCCAATGAGATCCTGTAAGATCCCTTTCTCCGGGAGCCGAGGTCAAGAAAGTCGTAGGCATTATAAACTTCAATGCGCCGTTTGGCGGGGTCTTTCAGGTTCTCCATGGTCCCTCGATGAAAAGGTTCACATCTGACTCTCATGCGAGACTCGGTACGGAGATGGAAATCAAATTCCCAGTTCTGCTTCTTGTAAGTCGGAATATTTGGCGTCGCCAGGCCATCTGGGCCCTTCAGACTCGGTGAGTGGAGGGCAAAAGCAGCACCCTGCTTCATAAATTCCGCAACAGACGTTGCTTTTGAGAGAGCCAAGGCCGCACCTTGGGCAACCACCAATCGCCTGAAAACATTGTCAGCCACGGCCGCCGTTTTGTATCAGAAATTGCCAACTTACATGTCCGAGACTGCGCGTATTTCGGACAGCGCAATGTATTTCCATCCGGGTTGGCTGTCTATTTTGGTAATTGTGGCTGCACGCGCAGCCGCATTCAAGTAGCTGCCGCCCGTAAGAACCACAGTTGTCGGTACCGCTCTGCCCATTCTGGCAGTGATCTTGGTGTGGACTTCCTTGAGAGGTCTATCGAATGCTCTCTTGTATAGTCGTGCGGCGTCCGCGGGCCCAGTAGGCTGCCAGATATGTGGTTCTTTGTCACAGACGAGGGTAAAGGCTGTGCCGTCGTGGTTACCCTGCTTCAGCTTCAGGCACTCCATGAACCCCTTGACGCATTCTTCAACTTCATCCTGGCTACCTTTGGTACATTCCGGATCCTTGCGGAGTGCCTTCTCAACTTCTCGTGCGTAAAGCTCTGATCCTCCGGGAGCGCCTATCATATGTTAGAAAATGTTGAACGCACAGCTCCCCCAACTCAACTTACCCCAGGGTTTCTGAGTGGCGAAGAAAGCAGGCTTGGAGTTTTCCTTTTCTTGCTCATTCCATCTCAGATGGAACGTAACGCCATTCTATAATCCTGTTAGCACGTGTGGTTTCGACATAGGCTAAGAGTAAAAATGCTTACCACAGTGTGGCCGCCAAAGTCCACAACCATAACCCTGTGCGGGTACTTCTCGTCGCCCTCTGGTCTTTGCAGAATGCCCCTTATATGACCGTGTAGGAGATAATGACCCACGGCCTCTGCTTCGTAGATAAATACAAAGTTTTCGGGAGTGATGTTCGGAAACGCTTCCTCCAGAATGCCTGCATACATTGTCTGGAACGGCGGCGTGTTCCATGTGACGGGGAGCGTGACAGCAATGCGGTCATAGGATAGACCCTCTCGATCACACGTGTCTTGGGTAGCCTTGGCAACTTTTCGTAAACACTCCACGACGTGCGCACGAAGTTGGTCTGTGGTAAGTTCTTCTCGCTCCTTCTGCTTTAGAATGAGGTCGCCTTTGAATGTTTTTTTCAGAAGCGACTGGACATCCTTGTCAACTTTGGCGTCGTCGGTAGCTCGTCGAACAAGTTCGTAGATGAGAAATTTAACACTCAGCCATCCACCTGCGCGAAGCGCGTCGTGGCCTGTCTGGCCTGTGGATGGTTTGAGCGCCGAGGGGAAGTCGAAATCTTGTCCGTTGTTAGCTCCTTGAGGAGGACATTCCGGGTCTCTCACATCGTAGAAGATGCTACGATCTCCGACTTCGACGCAAAGACTGGCCCTGATGGCAGTGCTGCCATCGTCCAAGCCAAGGTAACTGAATTTTATTGGTTAGCAGCTTCCTCTTTGGTAAGGTGGTGACGGTTTGACATGCGCTTGGTTGAGACCAATCTTTCTCCGCTTGGGGTTTGCGGATCTATCGCACTCCGTAGATCCTTCCGTCGACCTCTCACACTTGCTTCTTAATCCCGCCTGTGGTCCGGGCTGTTCATCCACGCCCGTCCGTTCCTTCCTTTTCTTGGTTGGTCTACGTTGAATCTCTGGTGAGGCATCCATCGTGTTGAACCGAAAGCTATCATACGACTTGTGAAATGCGTGCCGTTTGTCCTTGTGTTTGTCGCGCAGCATTGTTGAGGACTGTTACTAAGGAGGCTGAAATTCGCAACAGTTTTGAAGGAGGATTGAGTGGGTGAAAGATGAAGAGGCAGGGAAAGAGAAAATGAAAGTTGAACTAGATGGAACAGCACACGCGGTAAGAATCAGTTGAGGTTTCAGCTTTGAACGAGGTGAGAAGCTGGTGGGAGGCAAAGGTTGCATGGGGGGACGAAACTGGATTACCTTAAGTGTAAAGCCGGTCTAGATGATAGGTTGGTCGAGGTGAAAGATTGATCGAGGTGAAAGATTGTTCGAGGTGAAAGGTTCGAGGTGAAAGGTTGTTCGAAACAAAAGATTGGTCAAGGTGAGAAGTCGGCTGAGGCCCTCCACTTTATGTTCCCTAAATCTTTTGTAGAAGTGAACGCGGTGGCGGTCGAGGTGAGAAGAAAAGCCCAAGAAAGGAATGAACGACAGGATGAAAGGTAGGAGGGATCCAGAACCGTCGCACAACCAGACGTCCATTTGTGCCTGCGAGATAAGGAATATTCAAGTTCAGGATTGTTTGTCCCTTCGGGAATACTTCGACATGTACAATAGGCTGCTTGTAGCCATGGGACCAGAGGTCTAGATAATTCCCAGAGTGTAAGAGTATTTATACCCGCAGGACCAAACTTCAACATACCATAGAGATACTGACAATTATTTACTTGGTATCCAGTATCTTTTGGATAGATAAAGTTGCAGCATGTTTACTATCAGATATATGACCTAGTCAAAAACACGCATGCGCAACTGTTCTGAGCATATCCTCCGACCATTTTCAAATTTAACACAGACATTAGTAGGTTATAAGCTCCTTCTGCTTGGCTAGAAGTCTATGCTCGTTTACAGAATTTAGACATCTAATAAGACTCTCAAGAGCCAATGCCTTAATTTTACCACATATAAAGCCTTCATGTCGAAAGGTTAATTGAGTCTAAGGGATCAGATTGATTGCTAGGCTGACTTTCTTAGAGAACTGAAGAGGACTGAAGCAACGATATATAGTCTTCACGACATCTTTTCTCACGTGCGACGACAACATCGAGCCTCTCATATTAAATTGACACAACTGCGCTGGCCTTTAAGAGAAATCATGATTTCTTTTAGGACTTAACCTACATCTCAGCCTGTGTCTTTGTCGCCCTGACTTAGAAAACACACGATTCTGATTACTTCCAGCCAGGATGATGTTTGTGAGAGAATCAACAACTCTTCCTCACATCAACAAGTCTCGGAGCCGGTAACCAGACCTTCGGAGCCGGGCTGCAGGTTTGCAACTTAACGATACATCATCATGAAAGCGAAAAGTCACCACGCAGTTGATTGCACAAACCAATCAGCTCTCTCAAGCACGCTGGAACTCTCACGTTGTCTCCCACCTCAAATGCCGCCAAGCAGCCAATGACAATAGCCCAACACCACCAACCCTTCAAAACTCAGGAGTAAACTCCGTCCAGAATTGAGTTTCGACGACATCGAAACCTTAACCTCGTGTAAGAGATCCCCTTCCCATCGAAAAGCCAAAACTTGTAGGCATCCCACGCTGCTCCCCCAATCAAGCAAGCCCTCGAACTCACCTCATTCACGAATCAGGCAGGTATCGTCGTCATAGACAAACTCAAAAAGAACCCTCAAACTTCTCCCCGTCCCTCTTCTCTCACTCATCATCAGAGAAGCCGTCATCGCCATCCCTCCTTGTGCCACCCTCTCACGTCGTCGTCTCATCCCGTCTCAAGATCCGACGTGAGCAACCCAGCACTCCTCGCGCCCGCAGCGAAACCCTGCCTCTAAACCACTCCCATCTCAAACTCACTCATACCAAAGCTTCGTTGAGAGCCGGCCTTGGTTCTACGTGGCGTGGGCGTCAAGCATCCAGTAAGCATGGCCACCTTGAAGACCCCCAAGGTGTAAACAACATGTGCCGCTCAACAGCCGCACCCGGAAACTTTCCTCCTACCACCACCTACAAGGGAAGCCCCAAGGGGAGAAGATTCACCTGCAGAGAGACGGACAATCTATTGCGGAAAAGGGAGCTTCCTCGTTCAGAATCCGAGCCAAGCTTTCTGCTTAGGGTCAATCAAACCGGTACTCCCGGAGCATGTCCCGATTTTCAAACTTCATCGCCTGCAGCATCATCACACTTCTTAGCTCCCCAAGAGAGGCGTGTTGGATGTCGGTATCCTCAAGTTTGGCGCCAAAACGCAACAACGACCGGGATTTCATCTTGAGTCACCTTCTTTCTCTCGTTCTCCGCGCGAGCGCCCGATAACCGATACCCACGTGGGTCATCTCCATCTGCGAACTGATCAGTATTTTTTTGGGGAATCGAAGTTTGCAATGTGCGCGCTTTCTGTAATGTTCTCCAGTTTTTGATCTTCACCGCGAACGGAACACGCGTCGAACGAGCGAACGCGGGCTCGGCGGTAACACGCTAACTACACGAGAAAAATGGGAGCCAAGCCCTCACCAGCCGATCATGGGAACACGAACCCCTCGTAGGGATACGTGGGCTTTTGTCTGTTACTCACTCGGCCGGCGGAAGGCCGAGCGTGAATGAATTCTGGAGAATGGGTGGGTAAGTATCTCCCTTGTGTGGAAGAAAATCCCCGGTGTGGTTTTCTTGGGCTGGGTTGGTAGTGTAGGTCAGTTGGGCTTGAACGTTGAACCGCAAAAACCCCCGCCGAGAGAGTGTCCGAGATTGGGAGCTACCCTCTAGAGCCGTGCACGGCACCGGCGTTGGTGGCGGCGGCGACGGCGGCGAGGCGGCTGGCGGCTTTCCCAATCCCTCCTTCACTTGGCGGGATCACGCAGCTCCGAGGAAATATTTTGGCCACGGAGATGTAATTCAATACTACGTAGTAGAACCTGATCTGATCTTGATTTGCTGCATTGTGGTGGCAACCGATATATCGTAAACCCCGGAAAGAAGGAATTACCATTACACGAAGACAGGACCGGTACCGATACGTCACATGCGAAGTGAGACGGGATGCGAGGGGAGGGGGACGGACGGACAGCCACGGTGTCGGATAGGACTCCGTGACATGCAGAGGGACCAAATAAAAACGAAGTTGCGGGTCTTCGCGCGACCGAACCCCAGCCGCACATCGTCAGCGCAGCAAGGACCGCTGACTGGGCATCAACAACTCAGCAGTTTGGTTGTGGAGAAACACACAGAGAGCAGAGAGAAAAAGGTGATTGCGCGTCTATTGTGTAGAGAAGTCGCCGTCCGGTCTCATCTGACCTCTTCCCGCCGCCGGCTGTCATGCCCACCGAACGTAGCGCAACGCCGCGCGCTGTGCATGTAAATCAGACGCCCCTCTCTCTCCGTCCATCATCCCAGTGCAAAAGCCAAAGTTCACGGACGACGGTGGGGTGCCGTTTTGGTTGGCTGATGAGAGACGGGGACGTGGCAGGATAAGAACATGAGGCCAAACAGGCGGCCAACGACATCGGCAAACCAACATCGGCCGTCTATTTAGGGTGCTGGGGCTAGGAAAGGGCGGGGATGTGATGGCGAAGGGGGTTGGGCACGCAGAGTGTGCAGGGAGAGTGCCAGCAGTCAGAAAGAAGTCACGATACGAAAAGGGAACATGGCTTGAAAAGAGGCAAGGGAGTTCCAAGTTTGGAGTGGTCGTCAAAATTGGCCGCTACAACCTTTTGCCCTTGCGTCCCACCGGCGTCTCTGCCCACGACGATGTTCATTCGTAGGCGTTTCCAGAAAGCTCCGGTCTTTCTCGGAAGAACAGCCTCAGAGGCGGGGCTGCGGAGGGCGGATGTAAGAGTCACGATGCCATGTGAGCGGACGGTTAGACGAGCAGATTGCCGGAAGGGTGTCTACGAGTTTTCCGTGTTTTTCTTCTCGGAGGGGCGAGAACACCGTGGCGGCGCGCGAACATGATTTGGAAACAAGTAAGAAGCAAAAGGAAACAACGACGGGTGCGTCGTATTATTGCTCTGATGTTCCAGCGGAAGAGGAGACGTCGAAGACACGCCGTGCCTGATGAGCCTGTCGATGAAATGTGAGGATGCTCCGTGACAGGGTCATTGGTTGGCCGTCCGTTGCCGGAGGGCCGGAGGGCCGGAGGTCCAGCAAAGGCAGTGGACGGTGCGGGAACAGGAACAGGATGCACGACAGGACGAAGAAGTTGCAGCAGCACCGGCCCCCGAACCCGTCCATACAACGAGCACACAAGCGCAAAGTCACTTGTAGGCAGGATGGAAATGCGCGGTACAAAAGGTACAGTGCAGCAGCGGGGATTACACAACAAAACACCTTGGGACGGCCGGTCTCTGCCAATCCCTTGGATATGTCCCGTTTTATGACGATCCCCGTGCAAGAAAATGCCATTGGCCGCCGGATGATCGGCTGAGTCGGGCTTATTGTGGGATCGTCACCCTGCTGCTGCTTCTCTTGCTCACTGTGCTTCCTGTGCTTCCTGAGTGCCGGGCGCGCTGCGCTGCGCTGGCTGGGGGTTGAGTTTTCGTCGTGCGTGCTGGGTACCGCCGATCGTTTGCTATTATTACCTCGTTGGGAATCTTGGTCTTGGGAGAGAGAGGGGGAGGGGAAGGGGGGCGTGGGCGTGGGAACAGCGAGGGCAAGGAGAGAAGAGCAGAGTGCGAGAATAAGCAAAGAAGGGGTTCCTCGTTTGGATGGGATTGGGACAGAGAGTGAAAGGCAAAAGATCACGCAGACGGCGAAATCTCGAGAAAGCCGGGCCTTGCAGCATGGGAGAACGTTTGGGAGATTTTGGAAATGCCATGATGGCATTCCAGTGTTCTTTTCGGGTTAGCAGCGCCGTGTTTGTGGCTTGCGGGCACTTCATTTGGATTTTTCTATTTTGCGAAAGCAGGCTCCTTGCACGGATTGCGCCCAAGTGTCGGGGATTTCATTTCGGGTGTTTTGTTGGCTCATACGCTTACTGCGATATATTTGCAACTCTTGCTGAAATAGTCCTGAGCGCTGCTCAATGGAGAAAAGAACAGCAAAACTTATGGAATGCCCTGCCGGCCGGGGAATGCTTGGTGTGCGAGGTTGCAACGCGGAGCAGGACTGCGGTTGTGCGGCCAAGGGGGTGGTGCAGGAGAGAAAGAAAAAAACCGGATGGACTTCCGTGATTTCTGGTTTTGTTGGAAGAAAAGTCCCAAGGTCGTCAAGGAGTCAAAGTATGGATGAGAATGGAGCCCGCTTCGAAGGGGTTTGTGAAGGGAACCATGGTCGATGGTAAGTTGTTGCGTATGGTGGAGCAGGGGCTCGTTCGTCCAACCATCTGTTCAAGACGGCCTCTCCCCCATAGCCAACATGACGCGGGGGGCATTACTACTGCGACGCTGTACACGACTTGTATCAGAGAGTCATTGAAGTATCCGTCAGACCGTCTTTTCTGCCCTGCCTGCCCACTGTTCGTGGGTTTCGTGGACCGCATGCACATGTAATGATGATGATCACGTCCGCTCACCATCTCCGGCACGTACTTGTGACTTGGCCATGTCTCCGGATATTTCAGCGGCGTATCGGGGAGGACGGGGAGTGGGCACGGAGGGGGAGGAGGTTGGTTGTTGCATGGTAAGCATTGGCTCTCTCTAATGACGATGATCTGCCTGTCACGATGCAATGGATTCAATGCCGTCTGGGCGAGTGGCAACGGGAAGATCTGCTGGAAAACACACGATGACTCGACGAACGATGGTCGAGGGGTAACGGCGGTCCTGATGGATGGTTTGTTTCTGGTGAGACGGTGAGGCAAATCTTATCTGAACTGAGCCGATGCCGTTCCAAGGCTTCTTGTTTTTGCGTTCTCAGCCAACCTGCCTCGGATGGTAGCAAGGCGAACCATGGGACGGTGCAAACAGCCTCTGGTGATGCTTGAAGTTGGGCATGGAGATCGTCTCTTTTGATAATGCAAAAGCTGAGGCGATGGTGGTGGTGTCCATGTTAGTTAGTGTGCATTCCCTGGCGAAGCTGGCGGAAGTCTGTCAGCGATGTAGCCCCCAACGTTCTTCCCCAGACGTTGGCTATTTTGACGAGTTGGTGAAACAACACCGGCGGCAGAATGACAGATACTTGGACCGCACGGTTGGACGGAACGCCGAACGATAGTGACCTGCGCGGTAAGGCGGGGGAGACGCCGCTTGAAGGGTGACGAAGACGGATGTGGGGATGGCGGCAAAGAAGAGGGCTGAGTTTGACTCGTGACTGGACGGAGGTGTGTTATGAGGCAGGGAGCCGCCTGCTAAGATGGCAGTGGTTGAACGGAGCAGAGATCTGAGAGGCTGAAGGCGAATGAGGGACAGGTTTGACCCGTCGATCCGATGACATCACTCGGCCGGTGTCAGGGGCTCCGGGGTACCTTGCCCGGGGACCCCCTCGGTGTGTCAGGTTGGCTGTTGAGTTTGCAGCAACAGGAAAGATCCGACGGTTGTGGCGCTGAAGTCACTCGGAGGGGCGCAGGCAGATAATTGCGTATTGAGGGCGGGTTTGCCGTTCAGTCAGCTGCAGCCGCAGGACTGCATCGGAAATGGAGGAACCGAAAAGAAAATGGATGGTTCAAGTAATAAGAATGGGGGTTCAGGCCTCCGATACAAAGTTCAAGGGGCCAGCAGGAAGTTTGTTGCTGACAGTTGAGGGGATTGGACAAGCGCCAGATATGAAGGCCCGAGGGGAAGGGAGGACAAGGGGAGGGGGGCTCTGCGCGAAGCGAAGCGAAGAAAAGGCTCTTGAGATCGAAGTCATTGTTTCCAGGGTCCCTGCATCGGAGACACACAGCGTTATGCTTCTTTCGCGATTTCGACGGTTGATTTCCTTCTCTTGCAGCAGCGACTATCCGTAAGCGGTAAGCGTAACCGGTGAATGTGCAGCAGGCAGATTAGGAAAGGCAACGCAGGCTGCCCTCATGTCACTTCGGCGCCTTCGGTTTTCTGCCCGGCATGCCTTTCCTTGACTTGTGCTTGTGCTGCCTTGCATGTCCCTGTCCCGTCCCCGTCTCTCGTCCCAGTCGGACCCGTGGCGCTGGCCAAGCTAATGTAGTGTGCGCGAGGGACATTCGTGTATCCGTAAGGTCGCGCTGAATATGACTTGGGTCGGGCGGCTGTTCTAATGTAGGAACGGGGCCGAGAGGGTCTTGGAGTGGGTGTGGGCAGTCAAGTGACGGCTGAGGGTTTTGGGGGCCTACCGCTACCTCAGCGCGCAGCCAGTGGGATAGGGATCTTGTCATTTTTGCGGA